TCTAACTTGACGTCTATTAAACGCATACTCATGTTAAAAAGGATTTTTTTCCATCTCCCTCCTCTTTTTTTGGCTTTAAATTTCTTTTACCATTTTTATTATTTCTTTTTTGTGTCAAATTGAGGGTATAACAACTACATCAACAACAATAATAATAAAACAGCAAGTGGAAGTGGCAGAAGTAGCTGCAACATGTTATAAACATACATGTATGAGTGAGTGAATGAATGAATGTTGCATGAGTATGTGCATTTTTACTGCAGTTGAAAGTCAAACAATAAATGTTAAGGGAGATGCACTTATATGAAGAAAAAGTTTACAACAAAAAAAAAAAAAAAAAAAATATGTATATAATAATCCCAAATGGAAAAACTTTAAATTTAGAAATATTGTTAAGTAGATAAAGGATTGAAGAAAACGGAAATATTTAGAAGATCAAAGGTTACTTTCTTAAGTTGTCTATACTTTTTTAAAATAAGGCTAATTGCAGTAAATGTCTTGAAATTGTTGATAAATAAGTTGTTTAGGGAATAAATGTTTAGTGAAATAGGTAAAATCAAAATAGGCTGTAGATCTTTAAATAACTCTCAAATTGAGAAAATTTGAAAAAATCTATAATTTTGTTAAAAAATGGCTTTATAAGAAAAAATCTGAATTTGAGTTAAATGGGAAAGCCACTGATTTACTTCGATCAAAATCACACAGGCCGACAAATTTTGAAAAAAGTCGAGAAACCCTGAGACAGACTTGGACGTTTCTAAACGATTGACTTGTACTGAATCCGAATATGACCTCAGATTTTTTCATCACATCTGTCATTTGAGATATTGTGTCCTGAAATTTGAAAAAACTCCGTTTTTCGCACTTTTTGAGACAGCGCCGAGACAGCTTTATTTATAAACTGTTGTTAGCCATCTTAAAATCCATTCTGTCAACTTTAAAATGAAGGCCTAACATTTGATATATCTTCTTTATACTTCGCGATTTCTTCACCTAAAATGCGGAGAGTATGATGCTTTGTAAATGTTGTTTATAAACGAACAAAAATATTGGATCCACACCTATCCAAGGATGTTCCTATTGACTTAAAATCACATTTTGATTCGACTTAACGATGTATGTCCGTACGTCGACTTTAACGGATGATATCTCTGAAACTATACAGATTATTAAAAAGGGCCGCGATATCTCAAATCCCACATATGTTGCAGAAATTCTGAAATTTAAAAACTTATCGGTCTGTGCAATGGTTTTTGGTATGGAAATCTGTCATAATCAGTTATAGCTGTAGTTTCTTAAACATGTACCCATCATGAAAATAAAGACAATCTGAGATCATTTAAGGGTTTCGATTAACTAACTAACTAACTAACTAACTAACTAACTAACTAACTAACTAACTAACTACTAACTACTACTAACTAACTAACTAACTAACTACTACTAACTAACTAACTAACTAACGACCTAACTAACTAACTAACTAACTAACTAAACTAACTAACTACTAACTAACTACTAACTAACTAACTAACTAACTACTAACTAACTAACTAACTAACTAACTACTAACTAATAACTAACTAACTAACATAACTAACTAACTAACTAACTCAACTAACTAACTAACTAACTACTAACTAACTACTAACTAACTAACTAACCTAACTAACTACTAACTAACTAACTAACTAACTACTACGACTAACTAACTAACTAACTACTACTAACTAACTAACTAACTAACTAACTACTAACTACACTAACTAACTACTACTAACTAACTAACTACAACTAACTAACTAACTAACTAACTAACTACTAACTAACTAACTAACTAACTAACTAACCTAACTAACTAACTACTACTAACTAACTAACTAACTAACTACTAACTAACTAACTAACTAACTAACTAACTAACTAACTAACTACTAACTAACTACTAACTAACTACTAACGACCTAACTAACTAACTAACTAACTAACTAACTAACTAACTAACTAACTAACTAACTAACTAACTAACTAACTACTACTAACTAACTAACTAACTAACTAACTAACTAACTAACTAACTACTAACTAACTACTAACTAACTAATAACTAACTAACTAACTAACTACTAACTAACTAACTAACTAACTAACTAACTAACTAACTAACTAACTAACTAACTACTAACTAACTAACTAACTAACTAACTAACTAACTAACTAACTAACTAACTAACTAACTAACTAACTAACTAACTAAACTAACTAACTAACTAACTAACTAACTAACTAACGAACTAACTAACTAACTAACTAACTAAACTAACTAACTAACGAACTAACTAACTAACTACACTAACTAACTAACTAACTAACTAACTAACTAACTAACTAACTAACTAACTAACTAACTAACTAACTAACTAACTACTAACTAACTAACTAACTAACTAACTAACTAACTAACTAACTAACTACTAACTAACTAACTAACTAACTAACTAACTAACTAACTAACTAACTAAACTAACTACTAACTAACTAACTAACTAACTAACTAACTAACTAACTACTAACTACTAACTACTAACAACTAACTAACTAACTAACTACAACTAACTAACTAACTACTAACTAACTAACTAACTACACTAACTAACTAACTAACTAACTAACTACTAACTAACTAACTAACTAACTACTAACTAACTAACTACTAACTAACTAACTAACTAACTAACTAACTAACTACGACTAACTAACTAACTACTAACTAACTAACTAACTAACTAACTAACTAACTAACTAACTAACTAACTAACTAACTAACTACTAACTACTACTAACTAACTAACTAACTAACTAACTACTACTAACTAACTAACTAACTACTACTAACAACTACTAACTAACTACTAACTAACTAACTAACACTAACTAACTAACTAACTAACTAACTAACTAACAACTAACTAACTACTCCTAACTAACTAACTAACTACTAACTACTAACTAACTAACTAACTAACTAACCTACTAACTACCTAACTAACTAACTAACTAACTAACTAACTAACTAACTAACTAACTAACTAACTAACTAACTAACTAACTAACTAACTACTACTAACTAACTAACTACTATCTAACTAACTAACTAACTAACTAACTAATAGGGGGAGCAGTCTAAAAATATGGGCCAATTCTTCAAAATTTTGGACAGAAATTAACGTTATAATAAAATTTAATTCTGATACTAGTGATTTATGAACGTACGAGTAATTTACTATCGGGGATTTGCATGAGGTCTATGGTCAAATGGGGACCGATCAGTACGAAATATCTTCAAAATTGTGCCTAAGGTATACATGGACTCAGTTAAATCGACTCAGAAAGTGGTTCTAAGCCGATTGGTATGTATACTTTAAAAAGTGATGTTTCTAGTTGGTATAAACATTTCATTTATAGTTGCACACTTACCTCATCTCCTCGTACCATCATAGCTTGACCAGCCGCAGAAGCTGCAGGTGATGATTCGTCTCTGAAGAAACACATGGGACGTAATTCCGTGAATTTAAATAAAAACATTGTAACAACAACAATAGCAAACATGACCCAAAGGGTGGTCTTTTTATTGCGATAAGGCAGACGCATGATGATTATTTTCAATTCAATGCGGGGTTTTAGTGTTAGATTTTTTTTTGTATTATTTTTAGTTTTGTTTTAGAGTAGTTTTTTTTTTGTTGTTGTAGGCGTAGGTTTGTTATGATGAAATTTTAATTAAAATTTAAAATAGAATTTATAAACATACATACACGTTCAAAACAATGTTACCAATAATAATGAAACTAAACTAAAATGTATGTGAAAGAGAATTCTAGCTTTAAACTAAAAGCTGCTAAAGTTAATGAATTTTCTACTATAAATTTATAAAATACATATAAAGTTATGTATGTTTAGATGTAGGCATTTATGTATAAATGTATGTATTTTGTTGCTACGTGCCACCACATATAATTTATTATTGTTTGTCTTTTTTTATTATTGTTATTATTTTGGTGGCAATATTGAAAATAGACTTTGTCTTCATTAATTTTCTTGGTTTTTGTTTTATTTGCTGGATATTTTCTACTTTTTGTGGGTTTTTGTCAATTTTATTTCTTAAGCTTTTCTTTTATTTAATAATTGTAGGTTGGTTTCCTTTTCCTTTTATATGTCACTATAATATAATAGTCTTGTTATTTTATATATTTTTGTGCTAAATCAGTGATTTAGAATAGAATTTCACATGTGGTTTTTGTTTTTGTATTGTCTCTCTAGCCAGTGACTATGACGACGACGACAATAACAACATTGCTGTTGATGATGAGTGTGGTGATGATGACGGGGATTTTGCTATTAGTGCCATGATGATTTTATCATACTTTAGTTGAAGAAAAATATATTATTATTAACAAAAATAATACATTATTTTGTTGTTGGCAGAAAGAAGATGTTGTAGTAGTATAGCAGCTTCTCTTGCTCTTTTGCTTTTATGAGGGTTTTATTCTAGTTGTTGTTAATTTGTAATGGGATCCTTAAAGGCAAACAAACAAAAATAAAAACAAGGTGCTTTTTTTTCCTCTCTTGTCACTGCTTCAGCTTTTTTGATGCTGAATTTGCTTCTGTAGTCGTTGTTGTTGTTATATTTTTTGGTGATTATTTTAATAATGATGAAGGCGATGACTTTGTTGTGGTATTATTTGTTCCTTTACCAAAAAACTTTCCGTCAGTTTGGTTGTCACTTTTTTTTAGTTTTTGCTTTTTAGCCTTGTTATCGAATTTTTGTGTTTACAAAAAGTAAAAAGGGTTTTCTAGTTACAACAACTTTTTTATATGCCACTCATAAATTCCACTGAGTTTTTGTTTTCTTCTCCTTGCTTTTTTATACTGTTGTCCTGAAAGTGCTAGTGTAGTAGTCCTTGAGCTATGCTTTCCTATTTGTTATGTGTTGCTGATGAAAACTGCAAAATATTCAAAAGAATAAAAACAAAAAGTTTTATTAGAAATTAATAGAAACAAAAATAAATTAAATAAAAATGTAATTTTAATAATTTTGGGTTGTCGGATATTAGGGTTATAAATTAATATAATGACAATATATTTTTTAAATAAATACGTTCCCTGAGCGTTTTAATCCATTATCTTTACTACCTAGAGTTCTTACATTCGACTGTGTATCCAAATTCTACTTAATTCAATCTCATTTCATACTTTATTACAAAAAAAAAAAAAAAAAAACATTAGCATTGTTTAATTTTTTCCACCATTTTTCGCTAAACCGCTAGAAACCAGTCAGATTTAGGTCTTTGAAAATGCCGCTAGAAAACCTCAAGTTTCATAAATTGTCGAGAATTTGTAATTTACCAAATAAATACTAAATTTCCATACATTTCACAAACTATAGACTAGACTATAGACTAGAATATAGACTAGACTATAGACTAGACTATAGACTACACTATAGACTAAACTATAGACTAAACTATAGACTAAACTATAGACTAGACTATAGACTAGACTATAGCATAGACTGTAGACTAGACTATAGACTAGACTATAGACTAGACTATAGACTAGACTATATACTAGACTATAGACTAGACTATAGACTAGACTATAGACTAGACTATAGACTAGACTATAGACTAGACTATAGACTAGACTATAGACTAGACTATAGACTAGACTATAGACTAGACTATTGACTAGACTATAGACTAGACTATAGACTAGACTATAGACTAGACTATAGACTAGACTATAGACTAGACTATAGACTAGACTATAGACTAGACTATAGACTAGACTATAGACTAGACTATAGACTAGACTATAGACTAGACTATAGACTAGACTATAGACTAGACTATAGACTAGACTATAGACTAGACTATAGACTAGACTATAGACTAGACTATAGACTAGACTATAGACTAGACTATAGACTAGACTATAGACTAGACTATAGACTAGACTATAGACTAGACTATAGACTAGACTATAGACTAGACTATAGACTAGACTATAGACTAGACTATAGACTAGACTATAGACTAGACTATAGACTAGACTATAGACTAGACTATAGACTAGACTATAGACTAGACTATAGACTAGACTATAGACTAGACTATAGACTAGACTATAGACTAGACTATAGACTAGACTATAGACTAGACTATAGACTAGACTATAGACTAGACTATAGACTAGACTATAGACTAGACTATAGACTAGACTATAGACTAGACTATAGACTAGACTATAGACTAGACTATAGACTAGACTATAGACTAGACTATAGACTAGACTATAGACTAGACTATAGACTAGACTATAGACTAGACTATAGACTAGACTATAGACTAGACTATAGACTAGACTATAGACTAGACTATAGACTAGACTATAGACTAGACTATAGACTAGACTATAGACTAGACTATAGACTAGACTATAGACTAGACTATAGACTAGACTATAGACTAGACTATAGACTAGACTATAGAGACTATAGACTAGACTATAGACTAGACTATAGACTAGACTATAGACTAGACTATAGACTAGACTATAGACTAGACTATAGACTAGACTATAGACTAGACTATAGACTAGACTATAGACTAGACTATAGACTAGACTATAGACTAGACTATAGCATAGACTATAGCATAGACTATAGCATAGACTATAGCATAGACTATAGCATAGACTGTAGACTAGACTATAGACTAGACTATAGACTAGACTATAGACTAGACTATAGACTAGACTATAGACTAGACTATAGACTAGACTATAGACTAGACTATAGACTAGACTATAGACTAGACTATAGACTAGACTATAGACTAGACTATAGACTAGACTATAGACTAGACTATAGACTAGACTATAGACTAGACTATAGACTAGACTATAGACTAGACTATAGACTAGACTATAGACTAGACTATAGACTAGACTATAGACTAGACTATAGACTAGACTATAGACTAGACTATAGACTAGACTATAGACTAGACTATAGACTAGACTATAGACTAGACTATAGACTAGACTATAGACTAGACTATAGACGAGACTATAGACTAGACTATAGACTAGACTATAGACTAGACTATAGACTAGACTATAGACTAGACTATAGACTAGACTATAGACTAGACTATAGACTAGACTATAGACTAGACTATAGACTAGACTATAGACTAGACTATAGACTAGACTATAGACTAGACTATAGACTAGACTATAGACTAGACTATAGACTAGACTATAGACTAGACTATAGACTAGACTATAGACTAGACTATAGACTAGACTATAGACTAGACTATAGACTAGACTATAGATTAGACTATAGACTAGACTATAGACTAGACTATAGACTAGACTATAGACTAGACTATAGACTAGACTATAGACTAGACTAGACTGTAGACTAGACTATAGACTAGACTAGACTGTAGACTAGACTATAGACTAGACTATAGACCAGACTATAGACTAGACTATAGACTAGACTATAGACTAGACTATAGACTAGACTATAGACTAGACTATAGACTAGACTATAGACTAGACTATGGACTAGACTATAGACTAGACTATAGACTAGACTATAGACTAGACTATAGACTAGACTATAGACTAGACTATAGACTAGACTATAGACTAGACTATAGACTAGACTATACTAGACTATAGACTAGACTATAGACTAGACTGTAGACTAGACTGTAGACTAGACTATAGACTAGACTATAGACTAGACTATAGACTAGACTATAGACTAGACTATAGACTAGACTATAGACTAGACTATAGACTAGACTATAGACTAGACTATAGATTAGACTATAGACTAGACTATAGACTAGACTATAGACTAGACTATAGACTAGACTATAGACTAGACTATAGACTGACTATAGACTAACTAGACTATAGACTAGACTATAGACTAGACTATAGACTAGACTATAGACTAGACTATAGACTAGACTATAGACTAGACTATAGACTAGACTATAGACTAGACTATAGACTAGACTATAGACTAGACTATAGACTAGACTATAGACTAGACTATAGACTAGACTATAGACTTGACTATAGACTAGACTATAGACTAGACTATAGACTAGACTATAGACTAGACTATAGACTAGACTATAGACTAGACTATAGACTAGACTATAGACTAGACTATAGACTAGACTATAGACTAGACTATAGACTAGACTATAGACTAGACTATAGACTAGACTATAGACTAGACTATAGACTAGACTATAGACTAGACTATAGACTAGACTATAGACTAGACTATAGACTAGACTATAGACTAGACTATAGACTAGACTATAGACTAGACTATAGACTAGACTATAGACTAGACTATAGACTAGACTATAGACTAGACTATAGACTAGACTATAGACTAGACTATAGACTAGTCTATAGTGTGCTTCCGTAACTATCATGATTTTCTTTAAAAAAATTGAACAAATGTTAAAATTTCACAGATAAATTTAAGAATGTTTGTAAGTTCTAAATAGGATGTTATAATCAATTCACAAAATTGCAATTTCAGAATAATTTACTGCTATAATATCCCCCCAGAAAACAAAGAATAAACATAAATCTTTTTAAACTTTTCTCTTTAAGAGATCGTTAAAATGTTTAAGAAATCTGAAAAAAAAAACAGCCATTATTCTTTTTTCAAACTACAAAAGTGATTTGAAAAAGAAATATTGTCCATTTCTGTGGAAATGAAATTATTGTTAAAGTTCATTGAAACGAATTTAACAGTAGTAAACAAGACTATTGATTTCACATTAGTTACCATGGATAAATAAATGTGTTTTTAGTGATAATACGACTACAGCGTATACAATTTATATACAACTTCATACATATACAAGACACATATGTACGAATGGTAGGTAGTCGAATAATGTAAAGTTCTACAGCCAAACGTCCATTTATTTATGTACAATTTAAACCTTCTAACTAAATAATATAAACAAACAAATATGGTAGAGCAAATGTCCCTTTAGTGTTGAAAGTGGGTGATGTCTACCATCTAAAGCAGTACTCTGTTATGATTCCTATCCTATGCGTAAGCTAATGTGGGGTTAATTGTCTGCTTAGTGTGCCCAAGTAATCTAGTATGTAGTCACTTGTTCTGTTTAAATTTAACAGACTTCCTTGGGTAGACTTACTCCTGATTTTAGCATAAATCCCTACACATTTTCTAACACTGATGTAACATAAAACCTATATATGTATGTAAGTATGTGCGTCCGTGAACATGATATATGTATTAGTGAATGAATAAGTATAGGTAATTTATGTACGATTGTTAACTGTTTTTTTGTTTTCCAATATAAATCTATACAGACGTACATAAAATAAAGCAGTCAAATAAAACTGTTATGGCTAAAATGCCGATTAAGTTTTACCAAGTTAACACATAATAAATGTTTTCTCTTACACGTTTAAACACGAAAACGACTAACATCATTACGATACCAAATTATTCAAATAAGCTCATTTTTTTTTTTGTTTGGCTTAATCGAAACCTGTTTATCAATTTAAGGAATTGTAATAGCAATCAATTTCTATGAAATATATATTCAATTGGAACATTAATTGAGTTATATTAATGAGGAGAAGAGATAAATGAATAGCACTACAAAAGAATAATGATGAATTAAATTATTAAATGTATCTTTGGATTTCCAAGTGATCCATAGAAAATTTAAAGGCCATAGATGCTTTTTGTGGACATCAAAACGGTTTTTCATAGAAAACTCGATGGATGTCAAAGTTTTCTTTAGAAAACTTAACGCATGTCAACGGATATGACGGATATCAATGGATACGGTTGATATCAACGTTTTCCATAGAAAACTTTACAAATGTCAAAATTTTTCATAGAAAACTTAAC